CATAAAATGTGAAATAATTTAAGAAACTTACAATGTTTCAAATCTTTTTCTTATAAAGTATCGGAATGATACATCTTTAGTATATAATATAAATTCCAAATTTTATAACGGAAACGCAACGTCTTGAATTAAAACCTACAAAGTTTTTATTTATGGTTTAACGGTAAATTGACATTATAAGTAATATCATCTAATACAAACAATTTTGTTCTTAATTTCCTATGTTAACTATCATATTTCTAAATTCCGCACAATTTTACAATAGTTAAAAATGAAAAATTTCTTGCTGTAAGCTATTTTATATTCATAAATTTCATAACTATTTTTACTTATGAAAATCAAAGAAATTCACTAAAAAAACAACAAATACATAATATATTTTAATAGTATTCACTAAATTTGTTTAAAAATATTTTTAATTATTTGTTAAAAATAATGTGATATTAAAACATTTAGTAATAATATTAAACAATGAACATAATACTTATGAGAGTAATTAATTAATGTAATTTAAATTTATTTCTTATAGATCATATATAACGTTAAGTGACATGTATTTGTTATGTTGTAAAAACACTATAAATTTTATAAATTTGATTGATTTGTTGATATATTAAAATCAAATTTGAATATTTAAATTGGTTTAAATTATCAATATTTAGTGTTAATAAAAATCGTATCTTCCATTAATAAAAAAATATTTTAAGTGAAACTCGATTTTAAAAATGGGCTTATTACCACTATTTTTTAATTTTTTTTTGCTAATTTTACAATAAAAAAAAATAAATAAATAAAAAAGTAGACTGTAGATCTCAAAGAACATTTTTTTATAAATGTGACTTTGGTAAAAAAATTTCCAAGTAAACCAGTTAGCAGCTGATTTAACTGTCAACAACACACAAAATTAAATTTTAATTATTGATTTCCTAGAATTTAAAATTTTAAAGTGACAACACTTAATTTTTTCTTTGAGAGTTTATATTTTAAATAAGTATACAGGTTGTTATTCATATTATATTCATTAATATAGTATTGATAAAATAGATTATAATAATACAATTCACTAAAATAAACAACGAATATTATATATCGTGAATACTAAATTATTTTAATGTAGTTTGATGTTTTTAGAACGAAAATTGTTTGAACACTAAGTTTTGGCTTAAGAACAAAATAATATTTTCTTTACCTTATCACTGTTCATTCCGCAGATATTTATGTATGTATTTTATTTGTACAAACATCGTTCAACAACTTGTTTCTAAGAGTTTGCCAATATTATTGTTTAACAAATATTTAAATATGGAAAGTATGTATTTTCAACGCCTATGTTAAGTAAAGTTAGGTGCTTAATATGTTTAAGTCGCAGTGGTAATTGGGTCACGTCTCTCTACAGCTTAATGTTTTTGTTTTTTTGACCGTCTGTTATATGTTCTATTCGAACAACGTAATTCAATTTTATAACCCTTTTGTGGATGTCCAGTAGGTAGTGGGTTTGCTACGACTTCACTTATATTGTTATTCTTGTTTTCAAACCATGTTGTCATTTACGAATTTTGTATTTGATTTGTACGAATTGTACACTGTTTGAAATTCGACTTTGGTCAACAACTGGTAAATACAGTTCAGCATTTATAACCTTTTTTTAATTTGTGTTGCGTTGTTCAAAATGTATGGTGTGATTTTCTGTCGTGAGCATTAAATGCTAAATATAACTATAATACTCTTATTGTGGAATTTTAATGACTTTGAACAATTGAGCAATATGATTTTAATAGATAGATATAATGTATTATGAATAATAATTTATTTCTTATATTTTTCATTGCTTTTCATTTTTAATAAAATAATATTATTGAACATGGTCACGGAACGTGTTTTTTTTTTTATTGTATTTTTTTAAAACTTAGTATAATCTTGAATATGCTTATTTTTGTCATCAGTTTATGATATTTTTTTCTATTTAAGGTATTTTGAACGAATACCATGAAATAAAATATTGTGCAAACATACTATTAAAAATTCCATAGATTTTTAACAACTTCTATGGATGAAATATTTTATATATATCTTCAGAATTAATAAACATGAAAACTCAACCAAAAAATATTTGCGTACATCAGTTGTATATCAAATAACAAATATATTATACATATATTATATACATATAATTAAACAAAATAAATAAATTTTTTATTTTTATTCATATGACATATTCGTGTTTTCCATTTCAGTAGTCTGCTACAGTTGGTTAACGTAAAAGTTACACAAAGTTAAAAGTAAGTACTTACTTGAAATATTAAAATGAAAAAATGGAAACAAATTAAATAGTTTCTCATTTCAAATAGCACGTAGTTATGTTTTAGTTTCTCTGTGTGTAAAGCAATATTATATTCACGGATATGTGATCTATCGTGTTACGTGTATAATAATATCAATACGTCTGTAACAAACAAATACAAAGCTTAACGATATTTATTTCTAGGACTAATAGCTGTGTGTTTTCAGGTCAGGTTTGGCAAATCCCCAGAAAAACTGCAAATAAAATCCTCGACCGTCCAAACATCGACGTTTTGTTCATGTCAATTATCGATGATCCCTGTATCAAAGAGTATTTTTTCACGCATGTATACACATAAAAACGCTGCAATATACACTCGTTACATACTAAGTTACAAACGTATCGGACGTACAGATGATAAGGTTTTCACATGTGTATATGTGACAGTGATCCATGTTTAGAACAAAAGTTTAAGACCATCCACCAATCATCAGATATACGTGCGATAATTCATAATATTCTTCATACTATAATGTACGTTCATTTAAGTTAAATATATTTAAAAAACGCATTATTTTTGATCTCGAAATACAATTATTTCAATTATTCGATGTATTAAATCATTGTGAGTATTCAGTAAAATCTACAGTTTGACGCGAGTTGATGTTTTATAGTCATATGTATAAATATGGAAAAAAATAGTATGTTTCTTCCTGTGAATAAATGATCTTTACTTTTGGTTTTAATCACATAAAATCTCATAAGTTATTAAAATACTGAATACAGAATATTTTGTGTTCAGTAAAAAAAGGTTAAATTAATTATAAAACACAACTGATAATAAATAATATGTTTTTCAAACCATTAATATATAATGATTTTTATTTATTTCTAATAGATTTTAAGGTAAACTTGTTTTAAAAGCATTTTTTAAATCTTATGAAATTACTTATAAAATGCATGCTATATTTAAATATATATATATATATGTATAAATTTAGCTATTATTGTAATTTATAGCTACTTATATGAGATTATATTATTATCATCATATTTACTGTAAAAAAGAATTTTCAGTTATTTTTTCAACAGATATTCACTGAAAAATTACAAAATATTCCTCGCTAAAATAAAAACAAAAACTGTAAGTCGATTGACACCTATGAAGTTATCAAAAGAAATTTCAATAATTTAAATTAAAATTGCTGCTACGTAAACTTAGGTTATAATATAATTTACAATATACGTTTTATAGCACTATAAATTGTATAGTTTTAATAAAATTATTTATAAAATAATATGATATAATATTATTGTTTTTATTACTAAAAATAAATTGTAGTTAAAATAAATTTCTATTTAGATAATACGCTTCATTAAACAATAAGAGTGAATTATAAGAATAATCAGATATATTTATATTTAAAGAAATTTGATTGTTAAAAATTAAAACAAATGTTAATTTTTATATTATATAACTTATGATAGTTAGAAAAAATATCAGTAAAATAATAGTTACAGGATGATGAGTTTAAAATATATATTATTAATGTAAATATTAAATATGAACCTTTTCTGATTTGGTTTCAGATAACAAATTGGATCTAGTTAGTACTATACAAGATCAAATTGTAAAATATTCCAGTACTTTTCAAAATGACCGGGAAAAACAAAACAAAAAAATTTAAAGATAAAAGAGAATCTTCACACTTAACCAGTTTTCAATAAAGTTGATTTTATTTTTTAGTATAATTCAAAAACAAATAACTATAAATACTTATAGTTTTCACCAAATTCTTAAATGATAATTTAATTTTAAAAATATTTTGACTATTAATGTGCCATTTATAGACATTTGAAATTTTACTTTAATTTTTTTTTAAATGCAAAATTAAAATTATTTTCTAGGTCAAACTTCTTTAAAATTGAATTTAAGATAATCCTTAGGTAATTGCAAATTTTCTGTTTATTCTACGTCAGTCAGACCTAACACGCACTCTTAAAACTTACTCAGGTTGTTGTCACTTATTAAAGTACAACATAGCAAATTTGAATTCCGTAGAATCCATTTAATGTTGTTTGATTTAATATTAGAGGAATCAATTTAAGTATTATAAAACTTAAAAGTAAAAATATTTTCAAGGGAATCACATAGGATTTTATTAATATTTAATTTTAAAAGGAGTTAAAAGCATTTTATTTTTTTTTTAACATTAATTTGAATTTATACAATCTGTAATAGTAGTTACAATAAGCATATGAGCTAAAAAGTAGAGTTGGCAGAGAAATCGTGAGGAGAGTAGCTACCCAGCAGTAACACTCGACAAAATAAGCATTTTAAAACCATTATTTATATTTTACATAGTTATAATTCACTTTAAAATTAAAATATCAATACATTTCTATGATATTCTTTACACAATATTTATGTTTAATAATAGACAAGTTGACTTTAATATTAAAGCTAAAAATACAAAATCTATTAAAGTGAACACAAATATACTTTAATGTACCTGCCCTACGTTAATAATACGAGCGGAATTAATATATGCGAGTGAGCATCTTCTCAAGAGTTGATCTAAAATACGATATAGTTTAAATATAATAAACTAAAATTACTAAAATTCTAATTAATTTAATTATGATTTATATTTATGAATTATAATACTGTGTGGTATTCTTATTAGAAATTAAAAAATTTTAAATTATAATAACTTACCGGTCTGCTATAAGAAATTCACTTGCCTTTGATTTCCAAATGTCAGGATAATTAATCTAAAACATATTTATAATATAAATAAATACACATTACAACCATGAAAAAATTCATATTATATACATACAATTATATAAATATTTTGTTTTTAATTAATAAATAATCTAAATTAATTGTATTTTAATAATCACTGTAAAAGTACATGAATCATGTTTTAAAGTCAAATGTACGTAATACACTTTACAATCTAAAATATTATTGACTAAACACGATGTGATAATTTAATTATAAAAGCCTTTTCAAAAATTGAATAGTTAAAGTGAGTTTTAATTATTTTTAAATTTACGAAAACGTAAATCAAAGTGAAAGTACAAGAAAACTATGAAAAGGGTGGTGGACCTCGATAAACTTTCTTTACTTAAACTTATTTGACCGTGTTGTTTAATAACCATTATCGTTATTTATTATTATAACATGTTGATGACATTTTTTCAACGAACATTCTAAACATTTTAAATTTATCATGCTTGTAATAACTACATAATTTAATTTATTTCAAATAATAATAATTATATAAACTTGTGTAATACTATGAATATATTAGATACATTTAAAAGATCAAAACATTAACTGAGGGCGCTATTAAAAAAATCTCAACATTTTGAAATATTGATAAATATATACATATATATATATATATATATTATTTATTTTTAGAAAACGACTTTTGAAATGTTGAAATTTTTAAATCAAATAACAATTGAATTTATTTGGTTTTAAAAATTTAAATCAATAATAAATGGACAGTAAACGAATTTTGTTTTGATAATTTAATTTTAGTCATTTTAATACTTTATTACCTTTGCATATTATTGTAAACATTTTTAAATCTTATTTTTATCTAAGATATCTTATTTTTATAATTTAAATATTTAAAACTTTTAAAGAAATAATTGTTCTTTAGTTTTATTAACATTTTTATATCCTAATATTTTTTTAATTGCCTAATAGATTTAAATATGTATAATCTTTTAATAAAATTATTTAGTGTCAACCAATAATCATAAAGAATGACCTAAGTATTATTAAACCAAACATTGTTTTAATTATTTTATGTTTTCAATGAACTATGAATTAATTTGTATATTCTAACGAACTACCTATTTAATATTAAATTTGTTTTATTTTACATAATACATAAATAGTTTATTATATTTAATCAAGTGTTATATTTCACATAATGCAAAATTAATAATTGCCGATAATTTTTATAATTTACATTTAAAACAGTTAAAACCGAATTCATTAGCAGGTGATAAACAACGATTGAACCCTCTTTGCCACCAAAACACGGATCCCTAATACCGGAGCGTTTTATTTGTTAATGCCAACAGAACAACCACGGGGTTGTAAATCACACGAGTATCTGGAGGTGGTGGTGTACAGGGTGTTTTCTGCTCTTTTTCTTCTCTTCTATTATTTCTTCTTCTTCTACTTGTTCTCCTACGACAACCACCACCGCTTCTCTCAATCGGATAATAATATACCATTGCAATACTTACTCGCTGTCTCTTATTCTTTCTCTCTCTCTCTCACACACACACACATACACACACACTTACATATACACATACATGAACAATTCCAAAGTTTCACACCGAAGAAACGTTGTTTATAGCTTTGCTTTCACCTTCACGTCCCTATACAGTCTATACACACACACACAGATACACACACACCTGTGTGTATACATAATTTTCATCGCAATTCCCACCGGACCATCTACCTAAGATGGCGACAACGATTTTATAACTTGGTGGGTATAGTATCTCTACCTCTACTCCCACCTGCTGAAGCTTGAAACCACACAATTCTATGCCTGCACTCCGCTCGAAGCGACACGAGCTGTTGCGTCACCCTCCGGGGTTCTACAACCCACAAAGTTCATGTTCTTTTGGTTTTGAAAAGTAATAAATATAATATAATGGTTATTTTATAAAAAATATGAATGAATTAAGTTCAAGATTAATTTGATCTTAACTATTTCATAATTTATCATATAATTAGATTAATAATATAATTTGCATTATTATTATATTATGCATAATTATTTAAAAAAGGAAAATAAATTTTGTTTTAATCGTTTTATAAATGATGAATTCTTATAAAAGATTTAAATTAAACAGCCATTTTTTTTTTTTTTTTTTTTTAATCATATCAAAGTTTTTAAGTAATTATTGGGTATATCATGTATATCACGTCCGCGAATTATTAAAGCTTACTTCTGATTTTTCCCAATTGACTCGTTAAACTAATGCGAATATCTTGAATTTATCTATTTAAAAAAATTATATTAATCATTATCGAGGAAATTATTAATTTTCAAACTTTATTTTCACTGATAGAGCTTTTTTAAATTCTAGAAATAAAATTAATTTAAACAATTGTTGTACATTAAAATATTTATTGTCAAATTCCTTTTATTCGTTAGTGAATCAAATCAATGTTATTAGAATATTATAAAAAAATATTTCATTGTTTATAAAAAAATTTCTAAATTATTGATTTTATTAGCTTAGTGAAATATTATAAAAATATTACATCGATATAATTATATGTATTGTACATACGATTTAATAACTCCATGTTTACATACGGTATTTTGTTTTAATATTAACAGTTATATTACACTTGTATTAAAATATATTTTATAATTAAAATATTTTATAGTTCAAATAAACTTTACATATTATTAATATGCCGTTTAAATTATTTATATAATGAAAAAAAAAACAGATTTGTGATACAAAATATAAAATCAACGTAGACAAAAACATTTTTAATGAGCAAAATTGCTGTACCTACCTATATATAATATATTATATAATTAATATTTTTTATACTTCCATTTGGCAAGTATTGATAGTTTATTACATAATAATCACTAATCGATACATGATTACTTATCCGACTAAAGTTTACATTAATTTATTAAATTAAAATAATTCATAAGGACCAGCAGGTGAACATAAATAATATCAGTTTCAATGGTGTATAATAATTATTTTTATTGCAATCGATTTAAAGCCGAACTAAAAACCCCTCTTTTAACAATGTTGAATTATTTTCATTAAGGACCATTAATTTTAAACGTTCTGGAAATAGAAAAGATGGCTGAAAGAAACCAAGGCAATAAACTAATGAATATAAGGGTAGTTAATAATAATAAAGAAAAGCATATAATTACTAATAAACTTTATAGAATATTGGCGCCATTGCTTTCAGAATTTAAATCTAGGTTTTTTTCGTGAAGCGTGTGTTAATAAAATGAAATGTCATTAAAATGGGGTTTTTTATGTATTTCATGGTACGTTATAGCCATATGCTTTTTACAGATTCGTAAATTATTATTTACTACACTTCCGTGTTATGAAATTCAAAAAAAAAAGGAATACCTAAATTATAAAATAATTATATTGAACAACATTAAAATGATGTTTGTAAAATGACAGTAATTGTCATATACGTGATTATTCTTTATACCTTTATACTCAATTATACTATTCCAATAATAAAATAGCACGATAGCAAATATGTGTATTTTATTTAATTTTTTTTTATATTTTTGACTCACTCTAAGTACTAAGTGTTATTTTTCGTATATTTAATTCTATATATTTTAATACTATTTTATGAATTATTTTATTTTTTGTAATTTAATTGATATTAACATTATAATGCATAAACTATATTGATAAAAGAAATTACATTTCCTGGGATTTATCTGACTAGAATATATATATATAAGACACAAGACCGTCTTTTACCTTTTTGAGGCCCTGAGCAATGGTATAATGGAGCCTCTACAACTTGGACAGAATACTATTTTATTAAAACAGGTAAATAGGGAGGTAATAGATAAGAAAAAGTAAATTAATTTAACTATAAATGATTTTTATTTTTTCATTTCACATTAAATTTAGATACTTAGTATAATATTAATTTTAAAATAATCTGGAAATTTTTAAAATTCTATTTTTATTGAAAAAGCACCTTTCTAGATTTAAGATTGGCAAAACCGTTAATTACTTCTTTGAAGTCTATGTTTTTAAGCATATCACATTCTATTGACATCAATGACAAACTGTTCAATCTTTCTTGTAGCATTTTACTTCTTAATTCATTTTTAGTTCTTTTCAATTTGGAAAAAGAGCGTTCTCTTCTGCAGTTAGTTGCCATCATACTTATAAATATTCTTAATGCAATTTATACATTTGGAAATGTGTCTTCAATTTTATTTTTCTTCAAAAGATGATTTATTCCCAGTATATTTTCAGTTTCTTCTTTTGGGTAGATTACTCGTCTCAAGCATTCAAGCCTATATATTTACCTGACGCAACCATATTATGCTTATTTTAAACTATTTTTACAGATTGTAAATATTCTATTAAATGTTAAAAAAAAAAAAAAAAATAATAAATATTGATTGGTTGGTGATCTAGCAGGAATTAGAGAGCCCCAACTATCGCAGGGCTCTGGGCACGTGCCCAAAGTGCCCAATGGGAAAGAGGTGCCTGAATTAGACATATAACTATGACAGACTGCAGATACATTTAACTTCATATTATATTTAAAATAAAAAACTAAATTATAATAAAATAATAACTGTAAATTGTTATATATATATAATTAGAAATACAACTAGAGAGCTTTGTCCACTTCACTTACCAAAGCAATTGGAAAAAAATAAAATGATATTTTTGTTATACTATCAATTTATATTGCCTTTATTTCTCTAATAGTAACTGATATTTTTTATAATTATGTTACTATGATAACCGGGTTGACAGATTATTTATTTTTTTTTTATGTATGATTCAATGTTTTTTTATTCCATATAGCGAAAAATATATCAAATAGTATGCTACATTTTAACATATATATAAATGTATTCTTGGTTGAGTTAGGAATATTTTTATACAAGTTTAATGCAAATTAGGAGCTTAAATTTTATAATTGGACGTAGTAAGTGAAATTTTTAATTACATTTTTCTATACA